CGAGGCCTCGGCCGAGGGCACGTCTGCTTGAACGCCACACACATCCAGGTGGAACCTCGCATCCGAACCCACCCCTCCGCACGCAGCTAAGTGCGGCAGGGGAAACGGGACGGGAAAGCAATGCGGGGCAGACAAGGGGCGCTCGAGTTGGTGTGGGCTCCGGCCCCCCCCTTTCTCCGAGACAATCGCTCGTACCTGGGAAAACGAGATGGCCGTCGCAACCCGTGCGCTCCGGGGCACAAATGGGGGGCAGTCGGTTGAAATCGCAGGGCCGCATTAGCCCGTCTCCGCTCCTCTCGACCCCAGTGCAGATCCCCGGGCGCCACCCGGGAGGACGCGAGTGGGACGAGCGAGATGAGGCGGGCGGCGACCCCGCTGGGCTCGGCGAACCCAGCCGGCCAACGGACTCCGTCCGGACCTCCCAGCAGGTGGGGGGGCCGGTCACTCGGTCCCTCTTTTCTCTCCCGAGACGGTCGCGAAAAGGTTCGGGAGCCGGGGGCGTGGCAACCCCCGGTCTCCCCCTCCAAAGTAGCGCACAAGAACGGGCGAGAGGCGGACGGGCTCGTACAAAAATGGTCGGACGGGGAGGAACCGGGCAAACCCCAAACGATGGCTTCAAGTCAGGCGAGACCACCCGCTGAATTTAAGCATATTACTAAGCGGAGGAAAAGAAAACAACCGTGATTCCTTTGGTAGCGGCGAGCGACCAAGGGAAAAGCCCAGGCTTGAAATCCGAGGGCCCCCGGCCCTCCGAATTGTAGTCTGAAAAGGAAGCGTTCTCTGTGACGGGCGCCGCCTTAAGTCCACTGGAAAGTGGCGGCAGAGAGGGTGACACCCCCGTCGGGCGACGACCCGTCACTCCACGAGACGCATCCGAAGAGTCGGGTTGCTTGGGAGTGCAGCCCCAACATGGGTGGTAAGCTCCATCCAAGGCTAAATACGGCCAGGTTTCCGATAGCGAACAAGTACCGCGAGGGAAAGATGAAAAGAACTTTGGAAAGAGAGTAAAAAGTGCTTGAAATCGTCAGGAGGATAAGCGCATGAGCCCAAGCAAACCTGCGGGCCCCGTTCGCGCGGGGCCCGGAGGTACGCAGCGCCGGTCGATGCCGCGGGAAAAGGAGCTCGCTCCCACCGCGGCGGAGACCGAGGATGACCCTCACGGGTCGGCGCTGGCGAAACGGGCTGATGCGACCCGTCTTGAAACACGGACCAAGGAGGCCAACGCGGCTGCGAGCCAATGGGTTGGAAACCACAATGGCGACAGTGAAAGCGACCCGTGAGAAGGCGGCCTCGTGCTGCCCGCACCACGGACCGCCCCGGGGGCCTCGGCGCCCGGGGTGCGTTGAGTAGTCGCGTTGGGACCCGAAAGATGGTGAACTATGCCTGAGCAGGGCGAAGCCAGAGGAAACTCTGGTGGAGGCCCGCAGCGCTACTGACGTGCAAATCGTTCGTCAGACTTGGGTATAGGGGCGAAAGACTAATCGAACCATCTGGTAGCTGGTTCCCTCCGAAGTTTCCCTCAGGATAGCTGGTGCTCGATACGTGGTTACGTCTGGTAAAGCGAATGATTGGCGGGCTCGGGGGAGAAGCTCCCTCGACCGACTCTCAAACTTTAAACGGGCGAGGAGGGCCGCCATCTTAATTGTGGCTGGCTTTCAGGGGTGCTGGCTGACCCCACCAACATGAGTGCCAAGTGGGCCATTTTTGGTAAGCAGAACTGGCGAGGCGGGATGAACCGAAAGCCGGGTTACGGTGCCTAACTACGCGCTAACCTAGATCCCACAAAGGGTGTTGATTGATTAAGACAGCAGGACGGTGGTCATGGAAGTCGAAATCCGCTAAGGAGTGTGTAACAACTCACCTGCCGAATCAATTAGCCCCGAAAATGGATGGCGCTCAAGCGCGTGACCTATACCCGGCCGCACCCGGCTGCTGGTGAGCCGGTGCGAGTAGGAGGGCGCGGTGGGATGCATCGAAGCGTGCGCGTGAGCGCGCGTGGAGCTCCCGATCGCTGCAGATCTTGGTGGTAGTAGCAAATATTCAAATGAGAACTTTGAAGACTGAGGTGGAGAAAGGTTCCATGTGAACAGCAGTTGCACATGGGTTAGTCGATCCTAAGAGATGGGGTAACTCCTTGAGAACGGCGCGGTTCTCCCCGCGCCGCCCATCGAAAGGGAATCGGGTCAAAATTCCCGAACCGGGGACGTGGCAGCTGGCGGCAACGCGAGCGAATCCGGTTACGTCGGCGGGGGCTCCGGGGAAGAGATGTCTTTTCTTTTTCACAGCTCGATGGCCCTGAAATCGGCTTGCACGGAGATAGGGCCTGCGCAGCTGGTAAAGCACCGCACGTCTCGCGGTGTCCGGACCGCCCCCAACGGCCCTTGAAAAGCCGGAGGAGCGAATACTGCTCACGCACGGTCGTACTCATAACCGCATCAGGTCTCCAAGGTGAACAGCCTCTGGTCAATGGATTAATGTGGGTAAGGGAAGTCGGCAAAAA